ATTGTCCTCTTGGTAAGATTCAGCTGAGACCCCCTCAACAAGTCCTTTGGCTATCTGAGGTGGGACAGCAAAAAGCCTAGCTGGGAACTTCTTCAACTCCCCTCCCGCCACTTCAGTTGCACTACTTACCTTAGGGAAAGGGGTTATGCACATTTCCATTTTCTTGTACCTAAATTATGCCAAAGAAGAAAGAATTACAGTGAAAATACAAAAAGAAAAAAAGAATAACTTTAGAAGCAGAAGAGCCAGGAGTGGAAATGACATAGAAAATAACGATTTGCCTGCAGTTGACATGCACCCACAACACACTTAACACGGTACAATTTTACTAAGAATAATGATACTTTAGAAAAAATGATGACATAGCAAAGCTCTTATTGACTAGTGAATCAATATTAGAGAGAAAAAAGAAATGTAAATAAATGATATTGTCGCACAAATAAACTCACCAAACATCATCCGCATCCCTTGATTTACACATATTGGCAGACTTCCTGTGGCAGGATTTGTCATTAACTTTTTTTCTCCAAATAGCAATATCTCCCTTCTCATATTTTTTCTCCCAGCAAAGAAGTTCAGCTAACTCTTCAATCTTTCTTTGCTCAGCCTTGAGATCTTCCTTAGATCGCTTCCAAGTTTGATAGTAGGTCTTCCAATTTATTGGAGGCCCAGACAAGACCCAGTATCCACCAGGCCTCAGGACTCTATCGACTTCCATTAAGTACATCCCATCTGAATAAACAGGTACACATGTAGAAAGGTCATCAATTTCCTGGTAGTGTTAAAGTTCAACATTGTTTTTGATCATTGAATTCCAATCACTAACCATAATTACTGAATAATATATCAGAAAAGAGTGGTGAAAGAGAACAAAAGTACTACATCATTCACAGATAACATGTTCATTATTACCACTTACCATTTGAAGTCCATGGTATTAGGCATCGAGAACACTGAGCCATATCAAATGCTCTGGATGGATATGGAAGATTTATAGATCCAAGAACACCAATAACAGCAGGCACACCTCGCTCCAGTGCAAACTGTACCTGTGCTTCATGATTGTCCCGAGGTGCAAAAGACATAGTCAGAACATTTCTCTTCAGCATGTATGCACCCCAACTTGCGACCTACATCAGGGTTGGTTCCATTAGTGTGGTTAGTTCTATTGAAAAAAAAAAATGCCAAACTGGATATTTTGATGATGATTGTTGGCCAAAAGACAAATCTTTCAGCCAGTAATATACATAGACAGACTGTGCTCAACAAGATAGAGATCCAAGAACATAAAGAGGATTTGTTATGACTAAAACATTTAAAAAAAAAAAAGATGAAAGAGAGATAATATAAGAGAATGGAGATCCATGATCACAAAATTATAAGATCACTTTCTCCTTAACAAATCTATTTACCAACATTTCTGTTCCAACAGCACATACCACCTATGTGGAGGCTTCATCAAGTGAGGACTAAGCTTTTCTATTCTTTTTTTTCTGATGAAGAGAGGACTAAGCTTAATCCTTCAAACACAGACATATAAGGTGTTTCTATATAAAACAAAAAAGACGGTCCGGTTGATTAAATATTCCACACCTTGCTCACTATAGTATATCCTATGACTAAAAACCATGCCCGTATACATTATTTTATGGGATTCAGATACTCAAACAATTCATAAGCTCACAGTTCCCAGAAGGATAAAATGAGGAAGGAATAAATAAATAAGTAACCCATCCACCCATCAATGCAGCCCACCAAAGAAAGCAAATGCATAACGACATCACAAATACTCAAATAAAGCTGGATAACAGATTCTTGAAAAATCAACATACTCCACAACCAGTGTCCAATGCTGTTCTAACAGAACCATTCGCTATTGGGATGACTGAGGCAAGCTCATCAATATACGCATCTGCACCTTGAGGGAACATAGTTCCTCCACCCGGAAATTTGAACACATTTCCTTTAAACTGTACCCAATTCTGGACAGCCTTCTCAACTGTCAGGCTTTTGTGAGGAACATTAGCATAATGGACATAGTCACGACTCTTTGGCCATTCAAATGGGGTCATATACCCTTTGGGAGCTGGAGTGAGACAATGTAGTTTTTCTTCTTCAGGAGGACAATGTCTTTCCCGGTAAATCATATTATCCCTAGGAAACTTCATGGCTCGATCTTGCTCTTGGCAAGGGGTGTAATCAGTGTATTCTAAATCACATGGCTTAAACACGTGAGCTTTTGGTTTGGAAGGCTCAACAATCTCTACATCATTGTGATGGGTTTCAAAGTTTAAATTGGTGAAGATATTGCAGTCTGTCTGCTTGGTCACTGCCAATGCTATGCTATCTCCTTTGCCAAAACCACTTCTCTGCCATGCTCCCAGAATGTAAAAGAAACAGCACAAACCAATCACAGCAAATATAGATAGTGGGCTTCGTGTTTTGTTGCCTGATGGATTGTGCTTGGATACCATGATTAGAGAGAGTGGGAAATTTCCCTACAGCACACCTGTGAGGAGAAGTAAGTTTGAACATAATGATTTTCCATGGACAAACAATGTAAAGTTAGAGCTAAATATTAAAATGTATTAGAGAAACAATCTATAAAGTTCCATTTGTGTAACTACCATCAATAGACACAGTTCTTCAACTAATAAATAAAAAGATTAAATAATAAGCCAAATATGAAAAGGTAACAGGAAATAAAAAAAAAAATTATGGATCTAGATCAATTTTAATCTCAATCACATGACAGAAGTATATTTTTTCTAAACATAAAGTTTGCATAAGATAAACAAATAAAGTAGAATACAATTTCACCTTTGCAGCTAATTGCTTTTTCTAAATAACCAAACCCTACTAAAACAAAGGATTTCCTGTGAAGCTCATTATCAGTAGTTTGGTATCTTCAGAATTTATAATCACAATATAAGAAGAGTCCCCATTCTACACTATGCAGCGAATAAGAACTGAGAAATATTATAAGGGAAAAAACGAGTTCCAAACAATTGGAAGACTACAAAAAATTCATCGAGCATAATAACAAACTTTATGTTAGGGTTTTGTGCGAAAAGATGCGGTTAGGATGCTCAAATCAATAGATGATATATAAGCCAACACATAAATATGATTTCAAGCATTTAGTAGCATTAATAAAGAGTGAATAGAAACCCCAATTAGAACAGAATCAAGCCAAGAACTTGTCAATACAAACTATAGGTTTTTATTCTTTTTCTTTTAATACTCTTAGACTAACCCACTGAACTCCCCAACAAGCTCAGATTTCTCTCACAGTTACTCTTCTACTTAGAGACAAACAAGATTTACAACCTCAAAAGCATTACAAAAGAAAGTTCAGCTGTTTACAGATTTCTATGAAATAAACCTCAGAAATCAACTGAAAAGCTGGCAATTTTTATCCAACAGGTCTTAAAAAACCATCTTATCTTTCAGCTCAAAACATAGAAAACCAGAAACAAACTGAAAAAGAGAGATCCATTAACATAAAACTGAAAACCCATCAATAAAAAGAAAACGACATTGCATAGATCTCAGGAGAACAAATAATATATAAGCAAGGAAAGCTACAAACAAGAATGCAAGAGGAGTAGCGTAAAAAGCAAAGAACTTTAAACTTTAAAAGTAAAAAAAAGTGCAATAGAAAATGGGATCAAAGAAAATACCCAGAAGAAAGAAAGAAAGAGCGCCAAGCAAAGCCCTTCTGCTTGAATATCTCTATCTAGATCTCTGAAGAGCAAAATGAGTGTAGAGTGTTTCAATAAGAGAGTGTGAAGACTTTAAAGACGATGACTTTACAGCGAAAGGAGTGTCTTGTCTTTCAACAAAAGATGAAAAAGGGAAAAAGGGTTAAATTCTGTTGAACTGTTTTACCTTAACTAGGACTTACGAGGAATCGAGGTCGAGGAGATGCCGTGTTGTGTTTGATCCAATGCTCAAAATGGGCAGATGGGTTAACCAATAATTATCTACCGTGTTTGATCCAATGCTCAAAATGGGCAAGTGTGTTAATCAATAATTATCAATTGTGGTTGGGAATGGCACTAAGGTGATTGAATCTGAATCATTTGATTACCCCATATTTTCTTAATTCCTGAATATTTAAGGAAAATTGTTTGGAAGGCGGACACGGGTTCACATAGGCTGGCATTGCCATTGGTATCTGGTAAAGACAAGAGTACGCACCGCCAAAGCCACCGACCTTGATTATGTAGCTGAGTTATTTAAAAGGAAAAAAGAAAACAAGGCTAGGATTAATCAAGTGGCTTAATGAATACTTCACATAATACTAACTTAATGTTTTGTTGATTCACGGTCTTGCACTTTCGAGTTATACGAGGTGTTTTTGTTTGCAATTATGTCATCCATTATTATTATTTTCAGTTACATTCATTAATTAGTTTTTTTTTTTTGTCAAAAAATACTTTGTAAAAAAGTTTTTTTTATTAAATATTATTTTTAAAAATATGGTATGAACAAAATGAATTAATAACTTTAAGTTAAAATTTTATTTTATTAGCAATGAGTTTAAAAAATTTTGCAAATTACTTACTATGATATAAGTTTCCCAAAAGCAAAAGTCGGTGGAAGAGAGCATATATTGTAAACGCATAAGGTAATTGAGGAAAGTAAGAAACAAGTCAAATGCAGCAATAATTTGGAGGATAGGAGTTAGGACCATAATTATGATACTATATTTTACCTAATTTAAGTCACATCTGAATTCTTGCCGACACTAAGATTTTAAGAACTTAAGATGGTATTTGGAATTATCATATAAAAAAACATTAAAAATTCATTTGAGTGCCATTGTTTAATTGAAATGCCATTATCTTAAGTGTAATATTACAAGATTTATGGAGACTTTGCTCAACGACAGAATTTGTGATGTATATCTTAGAGAACTGAGATTTGGATTGAATTTGACACTTGATGCCTTTGGGCAGTTTGGAGCCATTGATTACTATGACAGCTGACAAGCATTAAAAATGGCAACAAGAGTGATGCAAAAGGCAAGGGTGCATGGATTTGGCCCATGGGCATGGGTGACCACTTTCTCTTGCATCTATCTTCAAAGTTATGAGCAATTATTAGATGGAATTTTATTCCATTTTCATCCCAACACTTCAACTCCATTTGGATCAGAAATTTTGTTGACTGAAATGAAATAGTACAAGCTCTAACTATAGACTGATTTTTTTTTTTCTAATGAAAGAGTGAGACTGAAGAGTTTCTAGTCAAAACAGGATATTTGTATGGTGATTTTTACTGATTTTGAGAGTTTAAAACACACGCCATGAAAGCACGTAATATGGATTCCATTATAGATAACAATGAAGATGCCGTAAGTCCAACAAACAAAATCTTGACACACCAAAATCCCCAATTTGATGCCTATTTGTTGATGCAATAGAAGAGGAAAAAGCTTTCTTCTATGTTGCATAATGTTCAATGGTTAACAGGAACCTGATGGGGTTTATGCATAAGGGGTTGTTTCTTAACCTCCAAAACAATCTCTGAGGAACGTAGCTCGACTGTCAAATGGTGGAAACTTTCACTTGGTTCATCAATCTCTTTTCACCTTGATTATTCCCGCAAAACTATTCTCCAAAAAAAAAAAAAGAAGCTGTAATAAACGTCACGAGGCCTTCTGCTAGGCTCCTTCTACTGCTAGGTTAAAACCATTTTCAAGACATCCCCATGTCAAAACATCCGTGCTTTAACTTCTGCATGAATATTTTGGTTATGTGTGCATTAGACAAATATGAAACCAAATTCAAAACAGCACATTGAAGGAGACATCAATTTTGCCAAAACAAAAAACTTTAATGCACAGATAATGTCCTAAAGCGCACTAGCCTTCCATATATGGTCTGATTGATTTAAGTTTGTGATGATGCCTCAATCTGGTTTCAATTCAACTCCCTCTCCTTTTTTTCTCCTCTGGAAGAGCTCAAAGAACCTTCAACTATAAAGAAATTAAAAAGGACATATCAAGATTGAAAGAGTCAGTCTAACAATGCTAGTGCAACGATCTCGAAGTTCTAAAACAGAGGTAGTATCCAGTTGAACCTCTGCCATGCAATTTATGGTTCTCAAGAAGCTACTTTGACTAATAGTTACATAAAACAACAATAGAAAAGAGTTTGGCAAAATTCGAGCTTCTTAATTGAACAAGTAAAACACACAAATACATATTTTGAACCTTGCCTTTCCCACACAACTTTGGATTCACCCTTAACAAGTTTGGGGTAGCGATCTACTCGAGAATCTTCCTGTAACAATTTCTCAACCTGACAATAAATTGAATATTGATATCAACATAAAAGACAGAATTAGTTCTTAAAACATTATAGCTTAGTTGATTACAATTTATTGTTATTTCAATGCACTAATAAAAATTTGCATTGAGGATTAGTTCTAATTTCTAACACACTAGGAAAGAAAATGAAAAAAGAACTGCAAACATCCATGATTAGAAACAGATAATCAGATCAATAAACACAGGCAAGTAAAAATACCTTTTCCATAACTGAGGGTCCTTTCTTTCCCTAGGCAAAAGAAGATGATCTCGCAAACATGAGGCAACAACCCATGATTCACCTGCACCATTGATGACCTTTGACCTCAAGGCATTCTCCTCAAGCATTTCACAGACCTAACAATTAGAAACAATTCAGTTATATTCTTTTTTTTTTTTTTACTTTCTTCATAGAAAAAGCATGCCGAGTAAATTTTCTCCAAACTTTTCATACATGACATTGGAAGTGGCTCAAAATTTTATAAAATCACTTGAGATGATCAAGTAAAGTATAATGAAAGCATGAAATTTTTGTAAGCAGACATTTCCTGAGTATGACAATGAGACATAAAAGATGGATATCCTAAAGTCCAGAAATTTTCAGCAAGAACACTATTTTCACTAATGCTTCATGACTTCTGATGACATCTTATCTCACTTTTTTCTATGCTTCCTTTTTCTTTTTCGTTATCCATCCCCTGCTTCTATATCCCAAGTTCTACTCATTATGATTTAAGGTGGTCATTTTAATTATATTAAAAGAACATCACTTTCGTTTAAGCCCACTTCCATTAGGAATCTATTTCAGCAGAGTGTTCACAACTGCTTAGTAAAATAAAGCTGAGAATTTTGAATAAACTGAAACACAGGAGGCCACTATCAAAAGAGCCTGACATGCAGTAAGGAAAATAAATCATTAATTTACTATAATTATACATTGGAAAATTTGCACAACTGATGGTAAAGCTCTTCTACTCTAGCTGAGATATATCCTTTCTGACGGACTTTCCAAAACAACATTGCACATCCTATAAGCTGTAAAAGTAACATTGTTAACAACTTTCAAGATGTTGATACTACAATTAAAGCATTTAGAGGATGGCTCCTAGAAGGGACTACCCAGTACAAACAGGTGCAATAATAAGAGCATGCTTGGAGATCAGTTGACGGATACGACAGGTAAAGGGTTTGTAATACTCTGATACAGAATCCGGACATTTGAACTCCCTTATGCTATATAAAAAACAGAGAAATGTGATTTAAATGCTTCCAAATGCTGAAACTTTAAATTGAAGGCGACAAGCATACCCATGGGAATTTGTTCTTGTCTCCAATAATTTAACTATTGCCTCCATCACCCTTCTTTTCGTATACACATATGTCGCATTGTCTGGGCCGATACTTTGCCTGAGCTCGTGTCTGTCTAAGTCATTCCAAATATCAGGTTCTTGAACCTGAAATGGGCACATATTTAGAACAACAGAGATCAGCAATGTATAATTTTTAGGATACTTTATTTAATGTAATATGCATGTAATTATACAAAATTGAATATCATAAGGTACCCAAACAGTCCCAGTTCCATAGCACAAAACCTGAGCGTAAGCTTCACAAAGGCAAACTTCTAGCCACTTGGACTGCAACATAAAAATGATAATCAGAAAAAAGTGCACATAATATTCCAAGGTAAAAGATGCATTTGTGAGGTGCTTAGAATACCAATATACCAGAATGAGCAAGATTCTAAGAACACACAAGTTTCTTAGCTGTTTCATTGACACAGCTTTCCACATCTTCTATAGCCATGAATACATTCCAACTTGCCTTGACAACATTTCCCATTACATGGACAAGGCTCACAAGAATCTGTACAAACACACATTTGTCAGAAGATTATTGGAATCTATCACTTGGGAGCAGGGTAATGAAACTAGGATTAGACTGCATCATGAAAAGATAAAACATTTGATCACAAAAATTGCTTAAAATTTGAATTACATATATTCAATAAAAGAAGGAAGAGGAACATAGGTTGACACTTAACATAAACTGGTTTAAAAGAACAACGGAACAACCATATTGAGCAAAGAACAATAACAAAGGACGCTTGAAATCTAAAGTTGCCCACAAATTCATATAGCCAATAAAACCAATAAAAAACCCATATTAAAAGCTACTTTAAAAAGTAAAATTTATTACAAAGAATGGATTATAATTCATATGCAAAGATACCCAGAAAGCAAAGTTTAAAAGAGGGGTAAAAGGATTGACCAGAGACAGAATCGATCGAGTCCAAGTTACTATCGCAGAAGGGTTTAGAGGTGGAGCTGAAGAAGGTGGCAAAGAAGTTGCAAGAGAAAGCTACTGAGGATGCGATTGCGAGTGCTACTATGAGCCGCAGAAACTCTCCTCTCTAAGGGAATAAGCTCTGGGGTGGCTCTATTATCGAGTTTAGTGAAGATTTTGAAGTTGATGATGAAGAAGAGGAACTGTGCTTTGATTTTGTACGCCTTTTGGGTTTTGATGAAGACGACATTTTTTTTTCATCGATGTCAACAACGTGAACTTCCTAAAAAATCTTTTTTTTTTCAAGTTTTATCATTTTTTTCTTGAAATTAACTTTCATTATTTTTCAATAAAACTATACATTCGTGTGTTCACATTATATTTATTTTAACTTAAATAAATATATAAAATATAAAAATTATTGTAATATAATTTGTATTAACACTAAATACAAAATATTTTGATTTTTTCCCAATCATATACGATTTAAAAAAATTAACTTATCTAATAAATTACAGTCTACTGCCATGTTTTAGTCAAATTTATATTGTGGTAAAAAAAAAAAAAACAGCAAAATAAAGCAACTTCTATTACTGTAATATAACTGTAATTAACACTCAACTGCTTACTCTGTTCTATGGGTACACTACAGAATCCAATTCAATCAAAACCCTAATTTTCCCAAATTTTAGTCAACATTCTCTATCCAGATCAACTTCTCCTGGTAATGTATTCAATCCAAAATTATATTTTTTGCAGAAATAAATTAATTTTAGAAAAGTTTGAATTTTGTAGAGATTAAATTCAGCATTTCGGTATTTTAGATTTTATATATTTAATTTTTGCCTTCCTAGGTTTTAATGAAATTTAACCAAATAATGTTTTTTCTTGTAAAGGATGGGACTTGGAAAGAAATTAACGTAAGATCTACTTCAGAAAAGGAAGAGAAAGTTCTTTTCTTTAAGCTCTTAAGAATTAAGAAAGGAAAAGCCTTACACTGATATATCCAGTTATCTTAAAGATTGTATGGGAAACCTCATAATCAATTATACTTGGTGTTCTAAAGTGATATTTTAATTTTATGATTGGTTTTTTTTTGGGGGGGTTGCAAGAAAATTGTTGAACTAATTGATGCAAAGTGAATAGTATATAATTATGATTGCCATACTCCATATTTGCCGGTAGATTATGACATTTCTATTGTTTTATGAGAATTTTCTAACTTCTTGTTATCAGGGCTAGGGACGGAAATTGAAAATACTTTCATTAGTGGTGTTCTCTTTGAGGTGAGATGTTACGAGATAAAGCTGGCTCATATCATGATACAAGTTTGATGATGTCAGACTTACCAGGTTACCTGCGCAACTGCTCGTGCACTGGAAAACTTGCACTTTTGGCGATTTTAGTTTCAGGAGGAATTGTTTTGCAAATCTTGGTTAGTAACACATTTCTCTGTTTATTAACTACATTTCATACTACTTCCTTGTTCTGATTCTTTGTGTATGATGTGTCAGGCATGTGCTCTGTACAATAATTGGTGGCCAATGCTGACTGGTAAATTAATGTGAAGCTTATGGTTTTCGTTTTACTTAATTCTCAAATGAGTTTTGTTAGTTTTCTTCCAAGTTTTAGCTTTAAATTTCTTTTTTGTAACATATCCATGGTTGCCTATTACTGATTGAGTTGTTGATGGTACATGTCCCTGGACATCTACCTCAAAGGCTGGTGCTTATAATTCAGTTCGTTATTCTTATGATTTTAGAACCATGTCAAGAAGACAATTGCAATTGAATCTACGAAGTAATGTTTCTTAAGATTCAACTGAAGTTATCATCCTGGGACTTGAATTATGCTTGCAGAAATATTTCATCCCCTCAATTCTTTAGGTTATTTCCTTTCATTGTCATATGACTTTACCCTGTAATTTGTTACTTATTTCAAAGAATTTACTGGTTTGCTGTTTGAATGCACATTAGAAGTAATGTTTATGAGTGAGTTTGAAGTTTGTGATTGCGTGTGTAAGTGTGTGTAAGCAGGGAGGGTCTGAAATTTTCCTGTCACTTCTTTTGTGCAATTAAGTAAGAACCTTCAAGTGTTTGATCATATTACTTAATTTAAGCATATTAACATGCTTCATTGCTATTGCAGTAATAATGTATGTACTTCTTCCAATGCCTTTGCTGTTCTTTGCGGGCTTCAATGTTTCTTCACTTTTATCTGAATCTGGCAATAGGTAATTTTTTTTTGCACTAAACTTGTTCTTCTATAAGAATACTTATTATTTTTCTTCACGACGAACAATGTGATAGTTGGGTCAAAGCAACAAAGTACTTGACTGGAGCTTCTACGGTTGGAAGCATTGCCATACCAGCCATCCTGAAGCATGCTGAATTTACTGGTTGGGGCGCACTGGCGATGGAACTTTCATCATATTTCATACTTGTACTAGCCATAATGTGTTATATTCAAATGAATGATGATGATTATAGTTTCCTCTGAAAGATGACTAATTCAGTTCTCACCTGCAATCATGATTCATGTAAGTCACTGTCAAAGTTAGTTCAGAGGAGTTTTAACGAGCCTCATTTCCATGTTTGTTCTTGCAGAGTGATTGGGGGATGTTTTTTTGGTACACGTAATGAGTGAGTGCCATTGTTGTGGGTGATTGATCTTGCTTTAGAATTGGTGTGGAATGAAGTATTTGCTGGTTTACTTGTTTTCTCGAGAAAACCAACTTTCAATCCCCAGAATTGTCTTAATCGGTGATTAAAAAAAAAAAAAAAAACCCTTTAAAGAACATTAGCCAGTTTCAAGTGACAAGCAGCTTTTTGTCATAACCAGCTACTACAACTTCTACCATTTCCTCGTCATTTTGTTCATGCATATCGTAGACAATCAACAACAGCGAAAGATTGAGCTGCAAACTGCAAGCATTCTTTGGAAAGTTGATACTTTGGTAGTGTTTTCATCGTTGCAAGCTCATGTTAAGACATCGATAACAAAGGACATAATACATTGTTGGATGCAAAAACTGACGAGTTTGAAGAGACTGGTTCCAAAAACACCATCTTAACATAATCAGTAAAGTTGGTTTGATCAAGCAAGATAGAATCGCGAGCCTATGAAACCAATTACTCAAGAAACAAGTGAAAATGATGAGTTTGAGAAAAGGGCTATTCAATTTGAAGAGCCATAGGACATAACAGAGGATCAAATGCATGAAACAGTGCTTATAAGATGCAGATTTCTAAAATTCATAAGAATAATGTATTTCCATTAACCAAAATTACAATAATCTCTAAAATTCAGTGTCAAAAAACGACGCGAAACTGGGGAGTGTAGGATCCATTGGGGGGCAGGATTTCCCAGCGGCAAGGCTCGAGCTCGTCGAACACAAGGCTAAATCCAGCTAACGTAAACTTATCTGCAGTAGCAGCTACAGACCCAAACTCGAACACCGTAACACTCTTCGGTAGGGGCACTTCAACGGCGCCGTTCATTCCAGGAACGGGTTCCGGCATCTCGTTGGACTTGGGTACGGTTTGGGTTTGAGGTTTCGATTCGCCCCGGAACCCAGAGAGCAGACTTACGGTTTGTGCGAGTTTTTCGCGGTTTGTAGGGTTTTTGAAGAACCGGAAGTGGGTTTTTATTAGGGATCCGAATCTTCTCCATTTGGGTAATCAATCTACGGTTTTATCATTGCCACGTCATCAAATATAAATAACTCGGCGTTCAAATATTAAGCCGTTTATGTGTATTTGTTTTTCTCCTTTTTTTCCTTTCTTTTCTCTCTCTTGCCCTCGCCGGGTCGGCGGCGGCATGGACCGATCAAGCTCCAGCCGACCGCCAAGTGGCACGCTTCAGGCAGTGTCTACAATTCTATAAACATCACAGCTGGATGGGCTTAGAACATGCAACTGCTGTTTATTAGGATAAGGCCATGACAAGTTGACAACATAAAGCTGAAGAGGTTTGTTGATCCACTTTCTCTTGTTTCAACATTCATTTAAAAAAAAAAAAATTTATAGCTCATAGATTACTGAGATATAAATCTCTATGACGTTGGTTCAGCTTTTGCTATGCTATTTTAGATTCTAGTTGGAGAAGGAGATAATTACCAAATCTTTTCATCTTACTTTGCTATTATTTGCAATTATAAAATAATTCATTTTCATTTAACTTTAAACCTTCAGCTTTTTTTGCTTGGGCTTTTCTTTTTTTTAGTGACAAGGGGTTCATTGGTTTTGCCCAATCTAAGTCGACCCAAATAGATTTATCTAGTCGGATATAACAAATTAATAACAAATTACCTTCTCACGTCCTCCTATTGGACCTGAATATTGAAGTTAATACTTTTAGCTTAGTGCTTATGGTTTGCTCAGATTTTATGATAGCAGTTTGGCATTACTAAGGCTTTTCAGGGAGGGATGTTTAGCAATCTATTGTGAGCTGTTTTTTTGGTACTTCTGAATATCATCATGATAAGGCACTGTATTATTCATACCTTTGCTATTGGAAAATAAAAGAAGAAGCATTATGACGTTGAATACCAGGTCATCTTTGTTATTAGGTCTTTAATTTCTGCAGGATTTGCCTACTGAACAAACAGGTTATTTTGGTTTGTTGTGAAAATTATGAACTTTAGGTGGAATAGTTAAATAAAAAAAAAAAAGAAAAACTGTTTGTGGACAAAATCAGGAAACTGGCTAAAAGTGGAAATGGACAAATAACAGTAAAACTTGAAAAACATGTTTAGAGGAACAAGCCAAGGTCTTTTCCTTGACCATATGGGTAGTTCTGTTTTCTATGATGACTGCTTTGAGCAATTTGATTCTTTTATTAAGAAACATAAAATTTCATTAGTCAATATTCCAAAGATTAAACAAGAATTTCTCTTACTAAAGTTTGTCATCCCTTCCTTGATACAAAATAATGAAATATATACTAACCAATTAAACATAATGAAAGAACACATTTGAAGAAAGCCAGGAACTTATTATTCTTTCACTTATATTGCTAAAACAAAGAAATGAATGATGCTGGTTCATGCTTCTAGACATTAATTTGAACTCCAGTGTCATATGTGTCTCCACCTTTCCAATTTTCTGGTATGTTATTAATAGGGACAATCCATGATTCATCTCCATCGTCTCCACTCAGTAACATCCTTAAAGACAATGGACCACTTGGAGGTGAAGTGGTTGTCCATACTGCTCCATAACTCCTATCCAGTAGCTTGCAGACAAAGTTTTGAGTCTGCATATATTAGAAGTATCCCATTAGTAAGTATTGTGCTGGCTCTTGTAGATTTGGCCACCAAATTTATCCTTCCTTTACAACTCTGTAGTTAATCCATACCAGTTTAGATGACTAATTAAACAAAAATGTTCAGAAAGATCAAAATACCTCACATAGCTGCACAGCTGTGATATCCTTGTCACCTTGTTGATACCATAGAACAAATGCCAAATAATAAGGGTAGTTGCTGTTCTCATCAATCTTGATAGTAATATTTTTGTTGGGGTAGATGCACGAAACACTGGATAAAGAGAGGATTGGGGTAAGAGATCCATGGTTTTGTCGTAGCATTATGTGGAGACTACTAGTTTCTTGTGACTGAGGGGGATAAAAACAAACTACAAAAATATTAAAGAAAGGAGAACTTTTGTTACATTCTGAAAATATAGTGTTTTTTTTTTTTCTTTTGAGATAGAGAGAGGGGGGGGGGGGGGGGCGCGATTTGAAATTTCCATTTAAGAAGACTCTGTTGAAGACTGAAAAGAGAAAATTAATTTCTCCCTTTTCCCTCAACTTATACAACAACATTCAGTTTTGTTCTTCCTAAAGTTGCTTCAATCTTATATGTGCTCCTCAAAATAGAGAAACCTTACCGCCTATATTCAATGTCGACAACTCCAAGGGCTAATAGAGATGCAGCTGCATCTTTGGTCTGAGCCATCCCACCAAAGGCTCGTTGGCTCAGGATAAAGTCAGTGTTGTCACTTGACCCTTGATCAGTTATAACCACTGTCACACCCTTGTCTGAGCAATATTTGCTGATGGTGCACCTCACCTAGCAAAGTAAGAATTGGTTCAATGTAAATAGAAAGTGGCATGCATTTGCATCGTGCTAGAGAATGTTTGCTATTCTTTAAGCATGTGAAAGGGCATCTATACTTAAATTTCATGACATATGCAAGGGCACGTCTTTCTTTTATACCTGGTAGCAATCACCGCAGCCAACACCATTACGGTAGAGGTTAGATGCTGCTGATACATCTCCACCATTTATTGTTGCTCCAAAAGAACCAAATCCGCATGCACCAACTGAAATTCAATTAGGAAAATTAGTGAGCATTTATGTTTGTATTTTGCACAATACAAGGTACGCATTCTTTGTTTTCCCTTACTATCTGTTCCATGTTCATCAGAGTTTGGGTAGTAAGCTGCTCGTGAATGGGTGAAACAGTTGCTGCATGTTGCTGCCTCTGTTAGAGCTTTTGTGAGAAGCAAAGTTGTGAAAAGGATCAAAAGGAATTGAAGAGAGAGAGCCATAGAGGATTCAATGAGGAAATATTACAATGAAAGCAAAGAAGATAAGTTGGTAGCGCATGGAAAACGGGTTTTGCAGCTGGTATTTATGGTGAAGCAAGCAGCCCACATATCTTAGTTTGGTAAACCTTGCCAAATTTGACATTCTCTAAAATAATATTAAGTGGAATTCTGTTAGGATTGTATGTCCCAACTATCTTTTTAGACTTAGAAGTACTTGTTGTGGAATTATTTGGAAACATCCCTCTGACTTTTCAAATTCTAAAGCATTTTTCCTTCCCTTATTGAAATCTCTTACGAGTATTTAGACAATAGTAATGCAGCTAGACCTTATTCTAGTGTGAAAGAAACTAGTAGTATATCAATTCCAAGTTATTAATTTAGTAAAGTTCTCCCTAACCATCATTTTTGATGAAGATTTTGTTCAGTTTGCAATCTTCAAATTCTGCTACAGATGTTATCATTCAGATCAACGAAATGTTATATCTAAGACTAATGTGTATATATAGTTTTTTTTATTCTCAAAAAGTTTTCTAATTTGTACATGCAGGCTATTTGACCATGGCAGCTGATCGTCTTATTGACCCTTACTTACCTAACAAGAGAGAGAGAGGGGGGGAGTGGTGTTGAAAGTTGAAACGATAGCTAAGTACTTTGAATGAGAAAATGTAAAACTGGTTTGTCTTGAGCTACAAGTTGGTTAGATGGAGTTTGGTGCTTTTCCACTAATTAAATAGCCCCAGGTTAGTCGTTTTTCTTTGTGTGATCTCATTAGCTATGCCTATGATCACATTGGCTGTACTTTCTTGGGCCGGAACGTGTAAAGGAAACACCCCATCTCTACGTTTGTCTAACAGCATGTCTCTAAAGCTTTGAAGGGTTGTCTTCAAAAGAATGCAAAGAAAGAATTGTTTATATAAAATAGATATCACATGCTTACAAACCACACCACCATAGTCTATAGCCTGATATATTAGAATCTTTTGTCAAGTTCATTCGAAATCATTACTTTAGTTTATGCTTGTCAGTGTTTCAAGAGCTGATTTTTATATAAAAGTGTTTCGAGTGTTTTACTTGTTTTCATACGGAGGAATGTAACCAAGCTGACTGCAAATTTTCTTCAGGGGCCGATGACGCTTACACAGCACGCCGACGTAGACCGACGTGAAAGAAATCCATTGAACCACATTCGCTGTGACATGGAAACCATTTTGGCAAAGGGACCCTACCCCAGTTGCTGTCAGTTTCTTTACAGGAAATTAAATGGGTTGCGTTCAAGTTTTTAAGACAATCATATCCATGCTGTTGCTTCTCATCTATATATATATATACATATATATATATATATATAGATGAGAATTAGAATTCAAATCACGCAATAATACATTGCCTAAATTATGTTCTAAGCTTTTGGTTTCTTACAGTTTTCATAACAGTTCTTTAGTTATATATATATATATATATATATATATATATAAAGAGATAGAATGATAACTTTTACATTTTTTTTAGCGATTGGTTTCAATAGATCCAATAAATCCAATAAATAAAAGAGATAAATGAATAAAAAAATGATTTAATCTTATAATTAGGAATATTGAAATCAATGACTTAAAATATATAAAACTAAAAAATTCACACTAATATAAGTTGATTTTATATATTAGTATTTTGGTCATTGATCTCAAACTTAGTGCTTTTATACTTGACATTCCCAATATGATTTTGTAAATGTCTAGGAAACCAAACATGAGAAAGACAACAAGTTTGTAGCATATACGTTGTCAATTGTCAGTTAAAGTAACACCATGATGATTCCTTGCAAGTTAGAAGACAAGCAAAAGCACTCAACCAAATTAAACATGAGAAAACATTATGGGCTTTATTCAAAACAATATTCAATTAAACTCTGAAGGGCCTGATCTCAATGTCGGCTAAAGCCCAAGCTTATGGGTTTTAGCCATCTAGGTTTTTGTTTTCTTTGTTCACCTAAGTTCTAGGCTTCATGTTGGACCAGGTAGTATTATGTGGCTAAACTTTTGCCATGTCGTCAGTTTTCTAAACAGATGCATATAAGTATGTTAAATGTAATTTTCATCAAATTATTTCAATCCTAGTATTTCTTTATCAAATTTTGGATTCTATCTGGATCCTTTGGTACATTTCTTAGCTCAATTATTGTTCTTTATATTCATCAACACCTTCACTTTGATCTCCAGCTCTGTACTCCATCACTTGGAAACCAGATTTTGCTGAACTTAATTCATTGAAAATGACAGCCGGTGAAAATTCTGTGCAGAGGTATGCTGATTACATTTTCTTTTTCTTCTTCTTCTTCTTTTGCGCTTTTATTTGATATATATTGGAAGATTTGTATTGGATTTAAGATGGGTTGTTCTCAATTTTTCTTTTTTTTTCCCTCCAAAAGTTTTTATACACAAGTTACCATTGATTCAATGTAGCAATCTGGGTTCTTTCTCTTTATTTCATTATTATTTTTGTTTTTGGTGAGAATTCTCTATGTTCTACTACTCTGATCTTTTGACATCTATGTCAGCATATTCATTGCTTCCCTGTTTATGCATTTATTTCCCCGAGTCAAAAATCTCTTTTTCTATGTTGGGATATGATTATTCTTCTGAATTGATGTTTATTTTCTTTCCTTTACTGATTTTCAAGGCACAGGTCTTCTATAACAGGTGTCAAGTACGCAATCAAAATTTTCCTGTGACTTATGATTTAATAGTCGTGTTACTTGATCTAAAAGCTACAACAATTCATTTCAAATAGATGATATGAAGTCATTATCTATATGCTTGTTATATTCTCTAATTATGGGCTAATGAGGACAAACATCTTGCATTTTCAGTATGGTTGTCCTAATTTAACACTTTTATCTTTGTGGAAAGCAGCAAGAAATCTATTCCTGATCTTGCTCCTTTGGAAGCAGTATTGTTTGATGTTGATGGAACTTTATGTGATTCTGATCCTCTCCACCATTATGCCTTTCGCGAAATGCTCCAAGAGGTAACTTTTTTTTAAAGAATCTGTTCTAACTCTGGCATTTGTCGTTTAGCTAAATCATCATCCTATACAATTTCAATTTCTGTCAAGCTCAAGCATATATTCTTTTGTTAAATTCACATCTGATTACCTGAATGGACTTACAAATCTGAGAGCAATAAGGTGGGGTTACTTTTACTAATGTTAATGTGTTTAACAGATTGGTTTTAATAATGGAGTTCCAATTGATGAAGAATTCTTTGTCAAAAATATTGCCGGGAAACACGATCACGATATTGCTGTGCTTCTCTTCCCTGATGATATACCAAGGGGCCTAAAGTTCATGGAAGATAAGGAAGCAATGTTTCGGAGGTAAAAAGGATTCGTTCCTATCGCAAACTATAGAAGTTTCCAGTATGCCACATATCATTCATAGTAAATCCTTTGTATGGAAGAACAGGTTGGCCTCGGAAAACTTACCACCAATAAAGGGCCTATACAAATTAACGAAATGGATTGAAGATCGTGGGTTAAAGCGAGCAGCTGTTACTAATGCTCCAAAACCGAATGCAGAACTCATGATCTCAAAACTCGGCCTCAAAGATTTTTTTGATGCTGTTATTCTAGGATGTGATTGTGAGCGTGCCAAACCATATCCAGACCCTTACTTGAAGGCACTTGAAGTACTCAAGGTGTCTAAGGATCACACTTTTGTATGTGAGGTATGCCTTCTTTTCCCAACCTTGTTTTTGGCATAATGAACTCGCGATTATGAACATGATTTTGAAAACTTGCTCTGTTTTTTATTATCCAGGACTCCGTATCAGGGATAAGAGCAGGAGTTGCAGCTGGGATGCCTGTTGTGGGGTTAACTACGCGAAATCCTGAAAATCTACTCATGGAAGCAGATCCTACTATTCTCATAAAGGATTATGAGGATCCAATGTTATGGGCGGCCTTAGAGGAGGTTGATAAGAAGGGAGGTTCTTTCAAAGACAGCAGCTTGAATTCCACGGCAGTTTAGGAGTTTTAACTTCATTTGAATAATAATTTTCTTAGGGGAGGGGGGGTCTCAAGACCTCCACATATGCCCACATAATATTTGATGAGCCAACATATTCTTAGGTTTTTTGGCTCTCTATATATGTACTCTATAATCAGCAGTCAGTGATGAGATTAATCTCTTTCGTTGCCCGAGTTCATTCCAAGAGTGCTGTGATATGATATATTTTCTCATATCAATCTCTGACACCTTATTTTCAGAAAGAGATTAAATGAAGAAATAGGATTACAAATCTTCCAGATTCACTATATAAATGCCAGACATGGATTAGAAAAGCTATTTACTTCACACTTTACAAAAGGTTTACAACAAAAACTATGATTCAAGAAAACAATAACCAAGCACAAACCAATTTACCGGAAAATTTTTTTGTTTGGCAGGTTGAAAACAGGAGCTGCACAAGAAAATGCAACAAATGGAAGCTGAACAAACAACTTAAACCTTCTCCAGGCACCAGTTTCGACGGCTAGTTTCGTCAGGCCCATGAGACTGAATCGATCTCGTCCCTTGCAGATTTGTATAACTCAAGCCTCTTTGCAAATTGCTGCCTCCTTTCCATCAATGCAGGATCTTCATCCAACAACCGTGCAAGCTACTTGGCCTACAAGAAAATAATGAAAACTAGTCAGCAAAGAAATAGTCCTTTCCTTCTATCCAAGCAGCATGCCTCCCCCACTGTGAGCAATGCAACGGTTTGAAGGGAATTCCATTCACAATCGAAATACCATGAGGATGGAAACGTGAATCTGTCCAAATGCATGAATGTGAATCAATGTGAGGAAGAATGAAAAAGTAATTATGATTGGATACCTCCTCTTTGCCCAATTGTATATAGAAGTGATCAAGTAACGACTGCTTGGCCTCCCTCACTTGGCAATAAACCACAGCCTTAGGAATGGTATTCCTAAGCGTATCAGACACCATCCCCACATAAGAAGAAACATTGGATCTTATTCTGTGAAACTGGCCTTCTGCGTATCTATCTGTAGATGTGGAAGTTGGTTTTCCCCCTTTCTCCACTTCTTGGGGGAGTTTCCGAAAGAAATCCACCGTCAAATATGAGGACTCCATATCTATCAATCGCAAAGCTGGGTTCTTACTCTCTTCACGAAACCTCTCCAATGCTTCATTCGCAGCAGCAGCAGCAGCGATTTCAGCTTGGAGAGTTGCAAAAGCGCTTCAACTTCTGTTCAATTCCAAAAACCAACTTATGTTCTTCCATTGTCCCTAAAGTACCACTATATCTTCCAAGAACTAAGCTGGCAAGTTTTCAACTTCCGCAGCAGAAATCAAATTCTAAATACTGTTACCATTTGGTGAGTAGATAGTGAGATGAATAGGTACAGGAGAAATCTGTTTGATTTCCGAGTAATTCTATCAGTTTCATCTTGAATTTCCTTCCTAACCATAGCTGCACATGAAAATCAGAAAAAATTAGATATTTTATTTTAATTCACGACCAAGAGAAATGCATCATTACATACACTTATAAACAAGCAATGAGAGCAAGGACAGGAAGCCGAGAAATCATTGTAAGATGGTTCCTTTCTACGATAACAGATTACTTATGAACAAATTAATAGGCTGCATGGTAATTTGAATGAGAAGGAAACTAGCACCGAGTCCGAATATGTGAAAAAGGTTGATCGTGTGTTCAGAATTTCAAACAAAGGTGAACAAACCAGAAAGTTCTAAATAAAAAATAATTTGGTTTACATAACAAATTATCTTGGGCAACTGAAGGAACTCTCCATATTCTTGTACTCCTTGTTCTGTTTTACGCAGCTGCAAAACTAGAGGTCTCTCGTCACTGTCCCTGAAATTTCAGAAACAGACATAAAGGAACAGACCGCATCAGGCTTCTCTGCGTACCAACAAAGACAAGCAATTACGAAATGCTCTATTTGTCCATCTTTCCAATGAAACAGAATTAAGCATCCCACACCAGGTTGACATAGTTTCACTTTTGTTGACGAGGAGTTGCAAAATCTTAAATCAGTTTGACTTTAGTTTGACCTTTTTTACTTGAATTTCCACTCTAAGTAATTCAACAACAAAAGAAAATATAAAAACGACATAAATGACACGTGTTTCACGTTCTTTTTTAAATTTTGAACTTTTTTATTGGTCGGGATATGTAAATGCGCCACATAGGCAGACTCTTGTTTTTGTTTTAGGATTTTGTTGGTTTCTTCTTTTTGCAACGCCATGCGACCGTCACTAAAACAAAATACATTGTGAAAGAATCTTGAGAAGTGAAAAGTGTAGCATTCTCATATGTAACTTTACATATCCAAGACATTCTCATATGTAACTTTACATATCCAAGACAATGTTAAAGTTTTTAAAACAGTAATCTGGTCATTCAATCAATTTTAGGCTCAATGCTCAAGTTCTTGCATGTTGAAATTTTTAGACATGATCGGTAAGAGCCAAAAGAAACCTCATTGCAATTTGCCTCCTTTTTCTTCTTCACCTTGGATTTAGAGTCGTCCAAATAGTGCTGATAGATGTAGGAAAGAAAACCCCAGAAGGCCAACAACATAGCCATCGCCTTAACTCCATCCATCTTATCATGGAAGAATACCACAGCGAGAATGGGGATAACAGGCAAACTCAATGTACTAATGACATTGGAGAACAGAGAAGACACTTCAAAAATCAATCCCAGCAAACCTATTGATGAAATCTGCCATGTCACAGCTGTCCAAATCAAAGTCATCAGATAGGATATCTTTCCTTCCTGGTATTCCTTCATTTCCTTGGACAAAGTTTTCCAATCCCCGCTTGCAAATAACCCAACTACGCAGCCACATGTGGCAACAAAAGAAGGGTATATTTGCATATCCAAGACAGCAGAGAAGGTCTCTCTTTTGATAACCTTTTCAAAAGACAATTGAATCAGGGAAAGGCATAAAGAGTAGGTAGCAGATGCCCCAACAGTGCATAAGAATCCAACTGCGTACTTTCCTTTAGAGACTGTTGAGGCGTTCTCGGAGTCTGCATTGACTGCTAGGAGGGCAGCTGAGATGCTAAGGAGGATTATTGAGTTGAGTATAAGAGGAGTGAAATTTTGGGAATTAAAGAAGAAGGAGAAGACGGCATTGAAGGCCAACTGAGTTGCGCAAAGTAGAGAATATGTGGATACTGGAAGGTATAAAAGGCCATACGAGTACATCAAGTTATCACCTGTCAAGAGTAAGCCAAAGCAAAAGTAGAGAAAAACAAGGGTGGAAGTCTTTGGTTGGCTTGTGATGGAGGAACTAATGGGGGTTGATTTGGTGGATGGTGAGAAGAAAAACAGGAGGGGGAGTAGAATTGGGAAGCCAGCTGATTGAACAAATGTTGCCATCCATTTGCTATTCCCACCTTTGTCATAGTATAATCTTCCCAGTAGAATAGCTGTTGATTGGCCAGCGAGAAGAAAAAGGATGTAACTGATTACACGAATCCACCACTTGTAATGTTTCAGTTTTGGAGGTTGAGGTTGGTTTGTAGAAGGAATGTCTTCATCTAAGTTTAGCTCTCTGTCATCAACAGCTTTAGAAAAAAAAATGGTTCTGGTCAAGAACAGGAAATTTATGAAACTTGCACTCAAAAGTCAGAGAGAAAAAAAAAAAATATATATATATATTCTGGTCAAGAACGACTACAAAAACAAAGATAGAACAGTTAATTTAGGAAAGTTACAGTTAAAAGTCAGAGCATAAGACTGAATCAATTCCAATTCACTTTTTCAACTATGCTTTGAAATCAACAGTAAAGAAAAGTTGGACAGTATCATTACAAAGTACAAATCACTATCAAATCAAGAACCATGTTCCTCAACGTTCTTCGAGTCTCAACAAGAAAATAGATCAGCACAGCTTGCGAGTAACTAACCTGTTCTTTGCAGTTCAACCATTTGATCTTCCGCCATGAAGATGCAGATTATGATAAACCAGTAGCTGATTAAGAGATAATATGCCTGTTTTTCAATTTTGTGGAAAGAAGTAGGAGGAACAGACAGCTTTAAAAGAGATCTTGAATGAGCTCAACTCTTTTAAGCAGATCAGATCTGTCCACACTTTGGAACAATGACACGTTGACTGTACAAGACCAGCTGAAAGAGATGGGTTTAGTTTTCTTATACACAGCATTGACCCTCCTGAAATTCAGTCAGACGCTTTTGTTTTGGCCAAAGCTGGCAACTCACCTTTCCCAAGGTAAGATAGAGCTTCATCTATGAGAGACCCATTTACACAAACATGTAGGACTTTCTATTTTGGGTACAGGGACTAGGATATCTTTCTTCTGTAGCCAGACAGGGAACAAAAAAGGGCAGACAAATGTAAAGGTAGATCAAAATAATCCCTTTTTTCTTTTAATCTTTTGTAAATAAAATTATTAAAAAAAAATTTTTCAAATTTTTCTTAAAAATAAAATTTTGAGGGATTATAACATTTTTAATTTTTCGAGAAAACATAATATTTCTAAAAAATGTATTATAAAAAGGGAAATTTTATAAAAAATTATAAAAATATTAAAAGTATTTATAAATTAGTATAATTCAAAGTAATAAATTTTACAATTAATAAAAAATTATTTTTATTGTTTTGATTTTAGAGCTACACAATCTTCCTAGATATGTTGGCTATATGCTTGTTGAGATTTTTTATAACATTTCAAAGAATAGAAAATATAGGAAAAAATCATTATTGTCATGTTTATGACCTATACAAATTTGAGAATCATTGAGAAGGATGTTAAAAAAATTAAAAATAATTAACAGTTCGAATTTTTTTTAATCAATATTGCATATTTATGAACAAAAGAGATAATAATATTATTGATTGTTATATAATTTTTTAAAATATAATATGTTAATTAAAAATACTTGTTTTGATGAGTAGATAAAGGTAATTTTTTAAAGAATTTAATTAAATTAAAATTATTATAAAATTTAAAATTTGTTAAAAAATATTTATTATTCTTTATCAAATAATAAATTTTTATTACATTATTTACAAATAATTTTAATAATTTTTCTTATACTTTTTCATAAAATTTCTATTATAACATTATCGTAAATATATTTTCAAGAAATATTATAATTTTTTGAAAATTTATTTTCAAGAAATTATAAAATTTATGAGAAAGATATTTTCATAATTTCACTTAAAAAATTTAAAAAAAAAATGTATAAAGCAAAAACGATTATGCAAAATTTCCGAAAAAACGACGAACGGTAAGCAATGTCCAAAGAAAGCGAGCGCAGGGTTTAGCAAGGGTTTACTCAATCCAAACCCACCTGACAGCAGAAGAGAAAGGTGTTTTAATTAGGGTTCTTCAATTCTTTCAAGTAAGAACTCAAAATCCTCTTTCTCTCATCATTTTTATTTTTCACTTTGATTAAAACCTTCAAACTTCCACCAATTTTCAATATCCCTATTTAATTAGAAACCCAAGAATAACATGAATTACTAGCTTAGTTTCATTATCCCCAAATGCATCGAGTATTCAACATTTTTTCGCATCAAATTCTCAGAAGTCCCAGTATTATCCCCATTAAAAGCACCCCTTTTCTTTCCCAATTTAATCTCTTTACTCGTAGATCAAATGGGTTTGCTTTATTTCGCTTATTTTCATTTACTCCGGTGCACCGGCGTGTACCGGATCCAGATGACCCTGCAAACCTAATGAAGGAAGATGGTGTATCAGTTTGTTCGCAAATGTGGGTTGAGAATTTTAGAGAACCTGATAGGATAGTCACCAATTTGACCTCTTATCTTCGTAGATTCGAATTATGGGTATTGGCTTATCAGAAAGTTTGTGCTGATGAAATAGGATCCTATATGCCCCGTAGTTCGATCACTAGGTCTGCGATGGAAGATTTGTTAGCCTTAAGAAATGCTGTTCTTGATAATAGGTTTAAGTGGGGTGCCAGGTTAGAGTTCTTTATAAAATCACCGAAAGACAAGACAGATTATGAATCTTTGTCGAAGAGGAAGATTAAGGCGATTTTAACTACTACTCAACCTGCCCCATTTCAAGATAAGCTGGTGCAAGAGGTTTTGTTTATGACTTTGGAGCCAATATATGAGGCTCGGTTCTCACAGAAGTCATTTGCTTTTAGGCCAGGGAGGAATGCACACACAGTGTTGAGGGTGATTAGGAGAAGTTTTGCAGGTTATTTATGGTATATAAAGGGCGATTTAAGTGCAATTTTGGATGGATTGAAGGTGGGGTTGGTGATAAGTGCTTTGATGAGGGATGTGAGGGATAAGAAGGTTATTGATTTAATCAAGTTGGCATTAGTTACACCTGTGATAGTAAGTCCGGTTGATGAGGGTGAAAAGAAGAAAAAGAAAAAAAGGAAGTATCAGAAGAAGAAGGTGTTGGCAGAGGATGAGCCAAAGCCTGATCCATATTGGTTGGAGACTTTTTTTGGTTTTGCTCCAGAGGAGGCAGAGAAACTTCCTTCATGGGGGCATTGTGGGATTCTTAGTCCCCTTTTAGCTAATATATGTCTTGATGAATTGGACCGGTGGATGGAAGGTAAGATTAAGGAGTTCTATCATCCATCAAAGAGCGATGTCATATGGAATACTCCTGAAGGAGAAGCAGAACGGGGGAACACATCTTGGCCGGAATTTGTACCAACAAGTGGGCCAGATAAGACCAGGAAGATGGACTATGTACGCCATGGAGGTCACATTTTGATTGGTATCCGTGGACCAAGGGCAGATGCAGCAACGCTGAGAAAGCAGTTAATTGAGTTTTGTGATAAAAAATATATGATCAAGCTTGATAATGAGAGCCTCCCAATTGAACACATAACCAAAGGTATAATGTTTCTTGACCATGTACTGTGTCGGAGAGTGGTGTATCCGACTCTTCGATACACAGCAACTGGTGGTAAGATTATTAGTGAGAAAGGTGTTGGCACCCTCTTGTCAGTCACAGCAAGCTTGAAACAATGCATCAAGCAATTTAGGAAGCTAAACTTTCTTAAGGGTGATAGGGAACCAGACCCACAACCATGTTTTAGAATGTTTCATGCTACTCAAGCTCACACCAATGCCCAGATGAACAAATTCTTGTCAACGATGGTTGAGTGGTATAGATATGCAGACAATCGGAAGAAAGTTGTTAATTTTTGTTCTTATATCATTAGGGGTTCACTGGCAAAGCTCTATGCTGCAAAGTACAAACTTCGTTCACGAGCAAAGGTTTACAAAATTGGTGCTCGAAATCTGAGCCGTCCTCTGAAGGAGAGGAAAGGACAGTCACCTGAATACCAGAATCTGCTGAGAATGGGTCTTGTTGAGTCAATCGATGGCCTTCAGTATACAAGGATGTCTCTCATACCTGAGACTGATTATACACCCTTCCCTAGCAATTGGAGGCCTGATCATGAGAAAGTATTAGTTGAATATATAAGGCTTGATGATCCAAAAACTCTGGAAGAGCAAAGAAGTTGCATCGGAGAGCAGGGTCTTGTTTCACCACAGGACTACATATCAATGCTAGTGTGGAACTACAAAAGAAATGCAATTGTGATGGATCAGCTTTCCCTGGTAAAAATTACTGGTAGTAATGCAGCAGGAGATCATCAGTTGTTATTGAGCTCAAATCATGAGAACTATGATCCCAAGAACAAGGAAGAGGAAGAGGCTGAAGAAGAGTTTCATGTTTCACAAATGTAAGTTTTGGTAACCACTGCTTGAAAATTTTGAGTTCCTTTGTTATTGGAATTAGTAATGGTTAGAGGAAGCAGATAGAAACGAATTTTATTCTTCAATAAAGATTTCAATGCATTCTATTTACCTTGTAAAATATTGAATATATTTATCAAATTTCAGAAGAATTTTTAATTCAATGGCTTCAAGTGCCAGGTTTTTTGATAAGGTTATTACCATCTATGCATAGTATTTCCCAGTTTCATTGATTTTTTATTTGAATCTTTTAAGAATTTCTTAGGAAAATGAAGACTGACGTTTCATCGGACTAGATTCATTTTCCTGCTGTGTTTTGTTCATTTCCAATATCTTTTTTCTGGAAGTGAATGAAAATACTTGGCTTTAGGCAGGTTAAGAAGGTTCCCATATGACATGGGACTAGGAGACTGATTGGAAAAACTATGGGAATGTGGCTTTATCTGCTGATGTGCGTAATATTGATTTTTATGAATTTTGCTGTATCTATGGCCCGATTTTTACTTTTACAATGTACAATAATGGCAGCACAGAACCATGCATAAAAGATTTGCCAAAAGTCAAAAAATTTGTGCATTTAGCGCCATAAAATAGCCAAGAAACAGGGGAAATTTTTAGTTCAATAAGATTTAAGAATATAAACATTTGAATCAAGCAAGTTCATGATGCATAATGCAACATCACATAACTGGAAAATACTGTCATTCTGTTTTGTCAATGGAGACACTTCTTCCATATCTTGAAAACCTTCCTCACACGTTGTAGTTCCTTCCATGACTGCACTCACCCAGGCACCAGCATTTCCATACTGCCCCGTCAAAAGTGCTCCAATAGTATCCACCAGAGTGACAACCCCATCAGAGTAAAGCAGAGAGCAGTCCCTCAAGCAAGCCGAAGAAAAAGGACCCAAAGTTTTGTTGTTCAGTAACCCTTTTATGATTGAAAGTGTGTTGGTCGCATTTTGTAAAGCTAGCTCCATTGCAACTATTGCTAGACCTTGAAGGTTTGTCATATGGCTAACGGGAATTTCCTGGAGAGATGCCGAGCAGAAAGTGTAGTTGAAGACGGTGGATTTGTCTGAGCATGTTTTACAGGTTTTGTTGATTATATCAACCGATAACATGCTTGTTGCAGAGATTTCATCATTAGGATTGAATTGAAAGAGGAAAAAAATCAAGAACAAGAAACAGAACGGTAAGAATGACACATGCCAAAGCCGCATTTTTCTTTTCTTGGTGTTGTCTGTCATTGATCTTGTTACTGCAACTTGCAACAAAATCCATTTATATAATCATGTGAACTTTGATAATGATATGAGTTTTTCTCATTCCAAGGAAGCTTCGTATCTCAAAAGAATTTCATTCTTTATGTACAAGGAAACAAACAAAACTCTTCTCCAAAGATAATGGTTCTTGATTAATCGCTTTTCTATGTTGGTCTTACAATGTATGGTAAATCATAAATGGATAGTAGGAAAAGGAAAAAAAAAAAGTAAAAATTGTAATTTATTAAAAAAAAAAAAAAGAAGAAAAAGCTTGACATATAATTGATAAGATCACATCTCTTGCCAAAAAAAAAAAAAAAACCATTGAAGATCAATTAATTTTTGGTTGAAGTATGTATAACTATAGTGGAAAGTGAAGGAAGGTTCCAAGAAGCCTACTAGGGATTTGTCCGAATGCTGTATTAACATCCAAAACCAGTAATTTAAAGCCCCCAAGAAAGAGCCTTTTTGCGGCAATGGAATTGAATTTTGTCAGGAATATCTCTATTTTAAGGGTTAGAAAATATGCAGGGAAACATTATGTATAGTATTTCTCGGTGAGAATTTAAGCTCAAGTCTCCTACATATTTCATTTTCACTTTATACTTATGCATGGCTCTCTAAAGTGTAAAGTATCATGCTATTTTATGAAAAAAAAAAGTATCGTTTTATTTGTAAATCTCAGTAACACATGAAAAGGGATTAAATATTTTAATATTTCAAATTGGATAATTGATGAAAAATAATAGTTATCAGAGTATGACGATATCTTTTATTCATTTATTTATTATTCATATTTAAAAATTAAAAAATAAAATAATAATAAAAATATTTTAAATTAACAACATTATCGGCTAAAGCAGTTTCAAATTTCAAAGTAAACCAAAATAAATAAATAAATTTATTAATTAAAGAAAAGGGTAAATTTTAACAGTACAAACACTTCCAACCATACATTGTAGAACGCTAGTCGTTGTTCCTCTGAGCGCTTCTTCCATGTATTTGTATGGTTTTTATTGGGCTGCAGTTGGAAAATGGATTACTAATGGGCCGAGTGATTTCCCCTTCCTCAGATTGATAGGCTGAAGACGGCTCATTCTTCTTCTTAATACATTAAAGCCCATCAGTGCCCAAAGAGAAAATACAAGCAAAGTTAGCAAATTACTTTGATGAATATCACATTAATAATTATTCACGCAAAGATGCTAACAGTCATATGACATTACGGAATAGTAAACTAGCCGTTCAATTAATTCGTTTGTAAAAATTAAAAAATTAATTTATATAAAAATCGAATCAATTGATTAAAGGATTAAAAATCGACATAAATCAATATTAGTTAAATTGATTTGGTTCATTTTTTCATTTTTTCAATTTACAATCAAATTGCAGAAAAAAATATTGAAAATGTATTGAAATTCATAAATGAAAATGAAAATGAAAATTATTAAATGAATACTTTATTACTTTGACGAAAGATACTAACATTCACCATATATATTGATAAAATACTAAATTTTTAATTTTTTGGCTCAGGATTAAAACCATAGTTGTGGTTAATTATTGGGTGGCTGACTGTGGTGCAAAAAAATACATGACTGAAGGAAACAACAGTCACATTATTAGAGGCTTAGAGCATGGATATGAAAGCAAGAGACAGTGCTGTCAGCTGGGAGAAATTGCTGTTCTCCTTTGTCAATGGCGACACCACCCCTTTCTTCTCCTTGAACTGATCTTCACAAGTGTCCGGGGCATCCAAGGCTGCGCTTATGTCCGCATTAGCTGATCCATAATCTTTAGACATAAAAGCCTGGCGACCACTTTTTAAAGAAGACCCTACGTCAGAGTAAAGTTCAGAGCAATCTTCCAAGCACATCCTTGTATAATGTTCAAGGTTTTTGTTCTTCAAAAGGTTGGAAATGATAGAGCTGATGCTTGTTGCATTAGATATGGCAATGTCGATTGTGATGGGAACCAAATCTCCAATGCTGGTGGCTGTTTTGCTCTTGGGATTCTGTTCGAGACTCGCAACACAAAAGCCATAGTTTATACCGGCGTCACCTTTGGCAGCTTTGTCGCAAGATTCTTGAATAACATCGGACCTTACCGAGACAAGCAAGAGAAAGAAGAAAGCAAAGAAACTCTTCATCTTGGATTTATTGTAGCAGCTAGTAATTGATATCCTGATGAAAGGGAGAGCTTGAAATGAAGCTTTTATAACAAGGAAACGAAATGGTTTTTGGTAAGTAAGCGTTGAGGATTTTCATTTGATATAAATGGAAATTCATTTATGAAGAGAATATACCATTCGTGATGCTTTGCCTCTTTTTGGTAAGCAATCCATTTATATTTGGGGTTACCAATTTGAGTAAGATAAAAAAAAAAATTGGCCTTTGAATTGGTAAATAACCAGTAAAAAACTAGGCTGTATTTTTCCATTTTAACATTTGTGCATATCCACTCCATTTTTCTTTATTGGGAAATATTAATTCACGAAAATCTCATTTTATCTTATATAAATATATAAAAATCAAATCCTCTAATAAAAAAATAATTTGATGTTAATAATTTATATTTTCAACATATAAAAAATATAAAAAATTTGATAATTTGATATGGATAATCTTCATTCGTGATATCGTGCCTTTTATGGCAAGCAATCCATTTTATATTTGGGGTTATCATTTTGAGTAAGAGGAAAAAGATTGGCCTTTCAATTGGTAACTAACCAACACAAACCTAGGCTGCATTTTTCCATTTTAACATTTGTGCACATCCACTCCATTTTTCTTTATTTGGAAATATTAATTCACGTAAATCTCATTGTATTTTACATAAATATATAAAAACTAAACCCTCTAATAAAAAAATAATTTGATGTGAATAATTTATATTTATGACGTATGAATAATCTAAAAATTGTGATACTGTACCTTTTAGGCAAGCAATCCATTTATATTTGGGGTTACCAGTTTTGAGTAACATGAAAAAATTGACTTTTGAATTGATAATTAACCAACAAAAAACTAGGCTGGATTTTTTCATTTAAACATTTGTGCATATCCACTCCATTTTTCTTTTTTTGGAAATATTAATTTACATAAATCTCATTTTATCTTATATAAATATATAAAAACAAAAAAAAAAAATTTAATGTGAATAGTCTATATTTTTAATATATGGATAATCTAAAAAATTGATATGTATTATATGTAATTTAATAATTCAAATATTTTAAATTAAATAAATTTATTTTTATTTACTTTAAATCATTTTCAATTAAATTAAAAAAATGTTATAAAAGTTTAATTGCCATCATTAATATAGAGAATAAATTTGCTAAGACTTTTTTCAATTATAAATATTCAACTTTAAATTAAATTTGTGTACAAAAAATTCACTTTTTAATATTTAATTATATTTTTTGAGATATGAATAGGTTTTCAATGCCAATCCACCGTTTTTTGTGTTGACATTCCCACCAATGAATGTATTTTTTATATTTAATAAGATAATTTATCAATTTAAATGAATATATAAAATATTTAATATCAATAATGCAAATAAAAATAAAAGCTTAATTATTTTAAAAAATATTTGAAAAACCCTCCAAAAGCATCAATTTAGTTGTGATTAGGTAAATCTCTACTCAAAAAAAATTCCATTCTATCTTTTATATGGCAACAAATGATTTTTATTTTTAGCTGGATTTAGTTTTTTAATTACTGTTAACAATAAAAATATATTATTTTTTCTCTTTTGTTTACCTTTTTTAACTAATAAATGCTTTTGCTTTATCATATTTTGTATTACTACTCTTTTATTTATTTTTTATGCGTATTCAATTAAACTCCATTTATTATTTATTCATTCTTAATGATTTTAAGTCATTTATTTTTCTATTGACTTAAATTTCATATTGACATGAATCTTTCTTTAATTTCAAAATATTGTATCTAAAATTTTTATAATAAAACGAGATCAAAATCTTACATTCCATGAAATAGAAACAAAAGAAATATATATATATATTTTTACTTTTGCTTTACAATTTTATTTTTTATTTTTAAAATTTTTTCAAACATCATATTTATTTACGTTTGATATATGTGATTTTATTCTATTATATATTTTTTGTTTAATTTACTTTGCATGAATCAACAGCATAATTTTTGTGTACAACAACATAATTTTTAAATTAAGACATTAATTGCTTTCTCTTATGCCATGAGTGGATGCCTTTTGTCAATAATTTTGTCATGATCAACTTTGGTTATGGTTAATTCAATTGCTATTGAATAAAATAATTAAATAAGAAATATGTGATGTGTTTAATATGTATTTTCTAATATATGCATAATTGTTTGATGATTTAAAAATTTTAAAAACAATAACTTAGACAAGTTTACTATTTAATATCCAACATGACACATAGCAAATAATTAAATAAATTTTATTATTAATGGAAATTGTTAAAAGATAGAAAAAGCTCTTTATTTTCAATTTTATGACATGTAAGAAGATAAATTATAAAAGTTTTAAAGTAAGTGATATACTTATTTTCATTAAATAATTTAAAAACATTGATTCAATATAATTTTATATTCAACATTTTATCATGCATTTTTTTTTTTGCAATATTTGTATTCTAATTTTTATATTACAATTCATTCAATTGTACGTACAAAAAATATATTGCCAAATAGGTATCAATACAATTCATTTTTCTCATCCAGTTAAATTTTATTAAATTTATTAAATTTTTGTATTATAATTTTTCAAAAAAATATCAATAAAAATTTGTATTTAAAAAATATTTTGGACAACTTTTCTAATTTTGGAAAAAAACAATGAAACCTTAAAAAAAATAATTTGTTTTCATTTTCAATGATCTTTTTATTATAACCGTACGTTGACTAAAAGTATTTTAATGATTTTATTAATTAGGTCAATCAAATATTAAATTTGATTGAAAGTTCATCAATCAAATAAATATGCTATTTGTTTTAATACATAACAATTGTTTTTTTTTTTTTTAATTTATATGTTGTATTGTTAGAAATAACAAGTAAGATAATTTAATTGTATCTATTAAATTATAAATTTACAATAAAGATGAGATAAATACAAATATTAAATTACTAATTTATAGATTTTATTAGATTAAGTTACCATTATATATATAGAGAGAGAGTGTGTGTAGTAAAACTTTGTACATCTTTTTTTGATAATTAATTTCAATACTTTCAAGAAACAAGAGAGATAAGGACAAAAAAATTAATCTCACATTTGAATTTATTAAAGTCAATATTTAAAAAAAATAAAATTAAAAAATTTTATATTTATATAAATTGATCCCTCTTTATATACATTCATAATATATATATATATATATATATACTACCCATATTAAAAAATGAGATTTATAATATTATATATTATTATGAAAATACAATTTATTATCACAATTTTAAATTTATTATTTTTTAAAATAAAAATTTTGTTTTTCAACAAATAATCATTTAACTTTAAAATAATAATGCATTTTAAAAAAATAATTGATTTATTTGTCCGTACATAACAGAAACTTAAAATTAATTTATTTTAAAATTCACACTTAAAGAGTTTAAAAAAGAAGTCTTAAACATCTTTTTAAGTGCAAAATTAAAACTTCAACTATAAAATATCTCTTTCTCAACTATAAAAATCTTTCAATTAAATTCTCAAATGAACTTTAAAATACAAACTAATCACTTCAAATTTAGTTTTGGGAGGTGATTAATTTATATATCTTAATCTATCCAATTTTTTATTAGAATAATGAAGAGAAATATCTTTAAAAGTTATAGTACTCTTTTTGTCCTTTTTTTTTTACCTTTATTTTTGGGATTTTTTAAAATTATATTTTTAAATTTTTAATATTTAATATTTTTATTTTTTATATTTTAAAAATATATTTTCCATATTAAAAACTATGGAACTCTAATTTTATACAAAATTTTAAAAATTTAATGTTAAATGTATTGAAATTAATTTTTTTTAAAATTTTATAAAAATCAATAACAAACAATTTAACACAAAAAAAGGCTTTCTTGCAGTTAAATTTTAAAAAAAAAACTTGGCATATTTTATCATTCATGACTATATAAATATCAAATATTACATCCAGAAATTTAGCTTAATTTCCTAGCAAATGCAATTAAACGCCAAGAAAATTGGTGCAAATAAAAAAAGTTAAGGAAAACCAAAAAAAATCGCATACAATCTTAATCACAAAGTTTGAAAGTACATCTTTCTCACCTGTCTAGTTAATTTTACAAAACACCATTCTCACGTGCTATTCCCTCCCTCTATCCAATAGAAACGAGCGTTACGACCTCGTGTACTTCTCCGTTACATCAGCGTTTTCTCCACGCGCTCATCTTTGCCTCCACGGCACTTTACACACTCTTCGGAGCAAATTCCAATATATTAACACAAATTTCATCACTCTCCCTCTTTCTTTCCCTCTCTCTGATTTCGATTTTTTTTTTCTTCTTAATCCTAACTCAGAAAACAACGCCAAAAACCCTAACCCAAATATTCGTAATAACGATCCGGCACTGAGTTTTTCGTTGTATGGATTCTCAATTCGAGACGGCCTCGCAACCCGACCCGGCCACCGACGCTTACACCTTCCTCGAATTTAACACCCAAGGCGAGTCCGATTTCGAATACACGGACTTCCGCGATCCGATTCTTTCTTGGCCTACACCCTCCGACGCCAACGTCGCCGATCGCTCTGGCTCCGACCACCACTCGGACACTGCTGCTTCCTCTTCTCCCTCTAGCGCTTCAAAAGGCGGTGGCCGTGGCTCAACGAGCAATAACAACAGCAATAGCAATAGTGGGGCCGTGGTTGATGCGTTAGCGGCGGGGATTTGTGGATTGAATTTTGAGGAGACAATTGGGGATGAGGATGGCGGTTATGAGTACGGAAAAGGGGATTTCTCTGAGCACGCATGTCGGTATTGTGGGGTTTCAAACCCGGCTTGCGTGGTTCGCTGTAACGTTCCTTCGTGTAGGAAGTGGTTTTGTAATTCAAGAGGGAATACATCGGGCTCGCATATTGTTAATCATCTCGTGAGTTTTCTCCTTTTATTCATTATTTAAAAAAATGATTAAGTTGTAATGGGCATTACATTGATGTATATTTGTATGTTTGGGGTTTAGGTTGAAATATGGAAGGCATGTGTTAGGGAGAGAGTTTAAGTGGGAATG